AGTAATGCTCACCATACTCTTAACAAAATTATTTTCAGGTCTGTATCTAAATTTTTAGATAATTTTATCCGAAGATGGCCTAATCAAGAGGCCAAAACTTATATTAATTTAATTGTTCTGTATTTTACGTCTTTATATTAAATTTTTAGATACTGCAACAAAATTATTCTTTCGATTACTACAGTTATAAAAAATCATACTTTATATATAATATATTACACTACTTACATTTGAAATTATTTGTTTAAAATACGTTTATATAATCGTACAAGAAGAAAATGTTATTTATCCTAGCGTTGCGGTTTTAGTGAGAATACGTAAATAGTTACAACTTGTTCACGTTGTACTCCGGGAGCAGGTTTTTTCCTCGTATCCCACAAATAGCACGAACTCGTTTGATTTCTGAGAAGTTTGCGCGAGATCACGGTTTAATCAGCGTCAGAAAGGAAAACTCGCAAATTAACGAATCAAACATTTGTCGAGAATGTTGATCGCGACACCCGGTATACGCGATATTTCTTCGCAACGGAGCACGGCGGATCAAAGAATCAATTTAAAGGCGGTCGCTCGGTACTATGTATGTGTACATACTGTACATACATCATCACCAAAAACAATTTCGCCTTATTAAGTGGCCGGGGATTGTAAAGCTGACGAGTTAACGTACCACCAGCTCGTTCCTCATACACGCTATATATATATATATATATACCGGGTATTACGCGCTCAACGACAGTACATTATTGCTTCCAGTTTGCGACGTAGAAGGATTAAAAGAAGAAAAAAATTCATGTCGTACAATATGTGCGATATGCATTCTAGCATGTGCTTTACGCGCATCGATGGCTTTTATAATGTCGATGAAAGCAGCGGTGCGCGGATGAACCCGCGACAAAAATTTTCGCGTCGACGGCAAATTAAGAAGAACGCGATGCAAAGGTCTTTTTCGCAGCTTGCGTTTGGCGTTAAAGTTTGCTGACTCCAAGTTTTGCGCAGAATATTATGTTGTACACATGCTGCGGTGCTGGTAAAAGACTAGAATCAAAGAGCCGGATTTTGCGGTAAATTTCTCCGCGTTCACGACGTAGTGCGTTTGACGCTGCGAGAAAAAGAGCAAGAGAAGCGGTTTTCAAAAGTTAATATTAATATTCTATTATTACTAACTTGGTCATATTTTGTTACCTATATAAAAAGTAAAAATCTCGAATTTTTAATTTTTAATGGAATTATATACTTTATCGTCAAAAAGTAAACCTTTCTTAATTGAAATGCGCAATCTTGAAAATATATATATTATAATATAATATAGGACACCGAAAAAATTTCTGATTAAAAATAAACGAACTAGTGAATGTTGATTATATCGATCAGAAACCCAGTCATCATGATTGGACATCTGGTTATCTCGCTATTGTTATAACAAATTTAACTATAAAATTTTGAGTCCATTTTCTATTAGAACTTTAATTCGCAACCGGAGTCTTTTTCCAGTGCAGCATCGGAAAAATAATGTTAATAATGTCAGATATAATTACACATAAACAGCGATTTTTTTGCTAAAGTAAGTTTTTAAAAATTATTAATTAGATACACAGATCAGAAAACAATTTTGTTGGTCCATTAAAACAATTATATAGAGAGTGCTTAAATTATTTGGATTGCTGGAAATATTAGAACTTTTTACAGCATTGCTCATCTCACACTTGAATATCCTACAATTATTTTGATATCTATAAAATATTTTCAGATTTTTATCTAAAATAATGCTATAATAGCTAAATTTTTAGGTCTTCAACAAAACTATTCTTTTTTCATATATTGGACATTTATTTTATAACGATTGAATTAATAACAGAATATGTTATTAATTCCAATATATTATATCAAAAGAAAGTAGCGAATATTCTCTCCATTTGACGCCGAAAATATCTCGTACTCAATCCTACAAAAATAATACATTGTGCACACACATATACCGTATGTGTTGTCACCGAGAACTCGTAATCAGAAAGTCACAGAGCGCTAAGTTCGCGGTAAGAACACGAGCCGATGAAATCTTCCAGAGACCTACTTTCCAAGTTTCCTCCCGTTGGCCATTTGCGGATCTGCTTTGCGACGCAAATCAGATCGATTTGCAGACCTAGGCGACAATTAGCACCGCGTGCGTGCCGTGAATCCTACTTTGGTGTTGCAGCGTCATGAAATGTGCTGCCGGTATCATGCTAAATGCACGCACGGATCCTTCGTGCGAGCGTTTGCGGATTCTTTTAAGACGCGTGCGTGTAAGAAGAAAAGAAAAGGAAGACCGATGCGCTTCGTTCGGCGACGAAGAACGATCGTAGAAAATCAGCCGTGAACATAACGAATAAGTATGAAGTCCCGAAGCTACACAAAAAATTTGTATTTATTTTAGCACATTTTACGTGTCCCAAAAGGTCCACTCAAATTTTTGTGTTAATTTAATATAAGATGAATATATTAACACATAACGCAAACATTATGTAAAAAAGAATTCCGAAAACCGATTACTTCCGATTTCCATGAAACTTTTAAAAAATCTCCTCATTTTAGGTTATAAAATAGTTTTTTGATGACTCCTACGAAAAAGTTATTTTTGAAAATAAAATAATAAAACAAATAGAGAATTATATAATAGTGTTTATATATATCTCTCCTATTAATGGGTTTAAAACTTTCCACACAAAATGAAGTTTCATCAAAATCGATATGTCTAGTTTTTCAATGATTGCTCTTTCAAAAGAGAGGAGACGAGAGACAAAATTGCGTCCACGCATACATTTTACAATACGAAGTGAGATTCCACACGGATTTACAACTTTCCACATAAAATGTAAATTATAAAGTTAAACATATTACTAATTTATATTGTCAATTTTATGTATTAATAACTTTTTAATGAATAACGGTATGAGAATGTTCAAGCGCTGCGACTTATTTGATCCACACAAAACAAAGCCTGCACGCTCCTCCGCACCCTAAATAACCGTACTTTATATTATTTTATATTAGAAAAATAACTTTTCCACAAGGATTGCCATTCTACCCTAAGGAATTCATTTAGTTGAATCAATTAATTTTTTATAAAAACAAAACAAAATTATTCTTGTAAATAAAAAATTTAGTTAAAGTAAAATTTTAATTATTGTGACATTTTACTTGTTTCTGATAAACATTTGACATCTGATAAATTTATTTAAATTTTTATTGTATCAACCAAGAATTTTGTTTGCCCATATCCAGACAAGAAATTAATTGATTCAACTAAATGGGTTTTTCAGTATATGAATAGAAACTAGTCATCCCCCCCATCCCCCAATGTCCTATTAACCAATAATAAGATTTTCGTATTAGATTAAATTTAAACCAATGACGCTAGAGTGCAGATGCAATAGCATATGTAGAAGATGTGTTGGCAACACACATCAATTATCAAAATATACACTGAAGATTTTTATCATGCACTTCAGTAAAATTAATCATGCTATCCCATGATTATCATATATTTTCACAGGATAAATTTAAAGAAATAATTCTTTCTATGTAGTATACTATATTTAAAGTATTACCAAAAACTCAAGAACTAATGAGTTAAATTAACTCTCGAATGTATCAAAAATTTAACCTAAAAATTTTAACAAGAATCAATTTTAACTCAAATATAAAATGTTTTTTATTATGTATATTTTGTAAATCTTAACGACAGTGTCGTTATAATTGTTATAATAAAATAGCAGTTTTTGTTAGATCACATATACGTAACGATAATATAATGATAAAGATATTATCATTAAAAGTTACAGAATCCAACTATAGTTGAGAAATTATTCGAAGCGTGCAGACGTCATATGTTTCGCGAGATTACGCAAGAATCGACGATGTGTTGGAGAATACTAGTGATTAATTATTAAACGAGTGAGAGAGTGAAGTTGCCGCCCGGCGACGCAGGATAACCGACAGATTACATAAGACCAGTTAGCGTTAATCGAAAACGTCGTACGTAGATTGGATGGAATGAACGGGAATGACTTATTGTTAGAAAAATAACTTTCCTCACGATGTCGCGAGGCTTCTATACGACGCGCATAGCTACGTCATTTTGATTTCATCGATCGAGACTCGCGCATTCCGAAATCGAAAATGACTATTTATTACTCTAATATGAAATCTACTTTCCCCTATCTTCTTTCACATACGGGAAGAAATAAAATATCTAAAATTTTAGCTAGACACAAATCTGTGATAAAAAAAAACTCAAGGATAATAAGTAATGTGTGTGTGTTACAGAAAATTTTGATATTTTATATAGTAATTAACTGGAGCCGCGTGCGTCTACATAATTATTTTGACAGTTAAATAAAATTAATTTCAGATCTGTATCTAGCTAACTAAATTTTTAAATACTTTATAAAAATCATTTCTTCTATGTACTGTACCGTTTTCATCTCTTATCTCATCTTTCTAGAGGAACTCAAATTATTCTAATTATTCTTCTAACTTTCATGTAAATATTTTTATAATTTTTTTATAATATAAGGTTTTTATCTTACCAATTTTGTAATTCTTATCTCGCGCATCTCTATCCAAAAAAAAAAAAACGATTTTTTTGAAAGATCAAAAATTTTGCTCAGTATATGATAGATCTGCAAATAATTTTGTTGAACTGTCAAAATAATTATAAAAACTAAAAAAATTATATGCAATGTTGTGAAAAATTTATTCTAACAATCAGTTTAAATTTCCAAAATTATTTTGATAGTCTAATAAAATTATTATTGGAATTATATATTAATATTTAACAAAAGTTGAGATCTTTCTACAAAGAAACGTTCTTTTCTCGTATTAACTTTTAGATGAGAAAGGGACTGGATATTTTCGCTCCATGACATATCGTATCTTAGATATCTGGTTTCTCGCATTTGAGAAACACTGTGTTGTGTACTGTCCACGCAATCAACTCGCATACTACACACCACACGTACCTCGGAGTTGCTCGTGGCGACGCTGGACAGACCTGGGGACATGGTGCCGGTGGTGGTAGGGTCCAGGCTTGCCGAGACCACCGTCGGGTTACCAGGGTGATGCGGCAGCAGCGCGGGGGCGTGCGGATACGAGGCGAGATGAGGATGCTGCGGCTTCGGGTGATGCAGCTGCGGGCCGGGCGGTGCACTTTGCACCACCATGGGGACGGGTGGCGGCCCGGTGTCGACCGGTGTCCTGCCGCCGCCCTCGCTACCGGCGCTGCCGCTGACGACCGCATTGCCGGCACTGCCGCCACCGCCGCCGCCCTCACCGCCACGAAACGACTCGTGTAGGTATTGGCGCACCTGGTTCTTCTGCTTTTGCACGACGTGATAGCGAGTTGGATTCTCTAACAGCGTGCGCACCTGAAGAAAATGGGTAAGTCGTGATGTGTTAGCTCTTTATTTGCGGACGAGTCGCGTAGATAACGATAATTAATCAGAGAATCGATTAAGCTTTCATACACAAATCTGTACTATTAATGTGCTTAGCTTATTATCATTAATTAGCTTTTTTCATTAACTATCTTTGGATTTCCTGGTCTAGTAAATGTATCATTATATTGTATGGTCGTTAATGTAATGGAAAAGATTTTAAAGAGATGTATTAAAAAATGGAGACGCATTATTACTCTTTTTTTATACCATTAGTTTTAAATAATTTCTAAATGAATATTTATAGTCCAAAATAAGTATGTAAGGAAAATTAAACTGACATTGGTATTTCATCCATGATGTTTTTCTAGTCTATTATCTTAGTCTATCTATATAATTATATATACAATTATTTTAAGATTACCTTTTAATATTAAAGTGCTTCAACAGGGAGTATAAAAACTTATAAATAATCATAAAATATTCACAAAAACGCATTTATCATATTGTTCCCTTAAAAAGTGATAATACAACTTAAAAGATGTGATTTTTTAATTATCACTATATGAATGAGCTAAATAAATATTACCCTACTTTATCAAAAACAAAGTGAATTAACTTAATTTAATAAAAATTCGTCAAAATTATTACAATTCTAAAAAGTAGATTTTGATGAAAATAACAAAAATAATGCCAAGAATATGTTTCTTCATCAATATTATTTAATAAATCAATAATTTTCTGTTAAATTGAAAAATATAATATTACCCTTTTCTAGAAAACTTAATTTTTAGCGTTGTATCACTTTTGTAGCAAGAGTGCGATATCTGTAATAAGAAAAAAGGATTAAAAATTTAGAAATTATTCTCTCAATTACTCTCTATAAAATGTTTCGACCTTAAATATCTACATCTTTATATATGAAAATTGTATGACGAGAATATTATCGCAGCAGTGTTCAACCTTTCACGAATGCAGCAACCATATTGCGTGGAGCTAATTGCAAGGTAAACCATCTACGACTCTCGTGCCTTCTCTCTCTCTCGTATATCCTCTCACCATCTACCCATTACTTTGGGGGGAGGGGAGAGTCTAACAATATAGACATGGTGTACCGAATAGATCTATTAACGACGCTACAGAATTCAGCTCGCCTTACTGCGATACGGCAAACTACCGGAACCTCGGAACTATAAGGTATCGTTATCTTAGCCACACCCGCCCTTCTACATGTATATCTATATGCACGGAGCTTTAAGCGACGGAAACGCAAACAATGGTAACCGAATGCTTGACCCTACGCTACTTGGATAACAAGACTCTATCTGGGAAAACCCCCCATCGCGGTGGACTTCGGATACTTCGGTACTTACGCCAAGTTCTATTATAGCTTCAACGGACGCCCCAGTTTTGACACAAAACATCAAATATACAAGGAAAATCAAAGAAAGAAGCTAAGAATATGTCGACAAAAGATTGCAGTACTTTCAATTGTCATACTTTATCAAACTATACACGTATTATATATATCGCACCCCTGCGAAAAAAGTAACATAAGTAAAAAGTTCAATAAACAAATAAATGATAACGGACAATTAGGAATTAATACTGTAAACGGTGCGCAATTTTGCTTTAAAAAAGCTTTACTTTTCAGCAAAACAACATAAAAATTATTACAGTAAATTGGTGGCCATCTGATCGCAATCCTTGTGAGGTAGTAACTGTAACAATCACTATAATAACTTTTTATGTTGTTTTGTTGAAGAAAGTTAAAAGATTAATCGAATGTACTAATTGTTTTCTTATTATTGTGATAAATCTTTTTTAAAGCAAAATTGCGTACTACTGTCTATATTGTCAGTTTCCAATTGCCCGTTGTTATTTGTTTGTTTATTGAATTTGATATCTCGAGAATTTCGTTAATATTGTTATCCTTTCAAGTCAAAAATATAAAATTGTTTAGGAAAGGAAAAGAAAATTGTGTATTTTTATTATAATATTTACTACGACAGAATTAAATATAAGTTAACACATACCCCTAATTACAAATTACTTGTTTCAATTTCTCTGGAAGTAATATAGATATTAATTTTGTTATCTTGGCAAAAATATATTTATAAATCTAGTCATATGTTTGAGTATTTACAAATATACTTCTTTATATACATTTGTTACTATAGATATTAATACTGTTTATCTACTTTTATTTCGAAAAAAGCATGTTAGAAAACAATATAAATTTTTTCACAAAAAAACATATTTCTAAAGCTCTGTTGCGTTAAATTTTAAAAAAATCATGAAACCGATTTAAAAACATAGAGAAAGTACATTTTGAAAGTCTACTCCTCATAAGATGAAATTTTGTAAATAAAGCTTAAACATAAATGAAGTGCATACAAAGCTCTTTTAGAATCCATCGATTTTCTTGATGGAACCAAAAAACTATGTTCAATGCAAATTAAAAAACTCGTTACTATCTCTATTTTGTGCCATTTTTCCGAGAATTGTTTTTTTGAAAAATATTTAAAATTAACTTCTCTCTCTCTCTCTCTCTCTCTCTCTCTCTCTATTCTTTTTTTCTGATTGAAAGCCGATGTATTTAAAATACAATCAGCACATAATACAAAATTTAAAAAATTCCAATTTATGTTCTTTTTCTTAAGGAAAAGTGATATTATCCAATTTTTCATACATATATATTGTATATTATTATAAATTATTAATTAATATGGAATAGATATATAATAATATAGTATACACGATATACAATGTATCGCTGTATATCGTGTAGTAATTGCTTGCGCAAAGGGAACAAGTAATCACGCAATTCATAATGTCCTGTAATATAATAACGCTGGAATTTATAATTTAATATAACAACGTGATATTGCGCAACGCAAAATAATTTTATCGTGTTGCATGATTCGAGCTTCGCGCGAGCAATTTAGCATCGATCGTGCAGATCGGATGATGTACGAAGGCGACGCATACTTGTAATACTTGCGGTGGAACATCCACACCGATAGTGGGCAACGGCGTAGGTGGCACTGGCCGAGGCGGTGCGGCAGCTGGCCTTTGCTGCTGCAAGCTCTGCCGGAATTCCGCCTGTCGCCTCTCTTGCTCCTGCAGCTGCTCCCGCATCAGCTGCAGCTTCAATTGCGTGCGCGACGTCGGCGTCGCTGTTTTGAACGTCGGCGGACTGAAAAAAGCCAATATTTCCTCCACGTAAGACTTTATCGAAGATTTCTCACTCCGGTGTACTTTTGCCATTTATATCCGCGCTAACTTGCGCACGAAAGCAGTTTGTATCTCCGAAGAGATAGCAATCGTCACACAATAAAAAATGTTTTGCATCTATGTTAAAATCAGATATTGTTCAACATATTTTTTTTGTGTTGAATTTTTGACGTATATTTGTATATTAATTTAACATAATATGATTGTGTTATTTGAATATTTTGTGTATTTCTAATTGATATTTAACACATTTCTTAGTATTAAAATAATATAATTTATATAATGTGAACAAATAAAAAAAATAATGTATTTTAAAACGTAGATTCTGAGATGAACTAACTCTTTTGTAATGGATAATATGTTTTTCAGCTTGTCTCTATCGTGTTTCCTAAAATTTACGCTAAAAGCGAAAATGAAATACAGTCTGAGGAAATAATTGCTTGTTATTTGAAGAGTAAAATTTTTGAGGCATATAACAAGATACACACGAAAATATAAAAAGTTTTTACTGTTTAAAATTCAATATATAGATATCCGAGTACCCATGTATTGAAAAAAGGATTTGTTAATTTTACTAAAAAAGAATATTTTCACAATTTGTTTACAAATTGTATATGTGTTATATTTTTTGCATAATATGTGTGTCTTCTAACTAATATTTATCCCCTGTGTGTTAAATTAAGACAAAAAATTTGAATAGAAACACTAAATTGTTTTCATTTAATGAATATTCATCTGAATACAAATTTTCAAACTATGTATGTAATTCAATTAAATTTCATTTAATAATACAATTAAATTACATAAACAATTTAGTTTTTCAAGCGCATTTCCACAAAAATATTGCTGAATTACGAATAATTAATATACAGATACCTGAGCCAAATAAAGCCTAAATCCCACTTAAATTTATAACGTCAAAAACGCGCTATATAGAATATATGTTTTAAATATGTGGCATTAAAAGTACATAAAAAGATGTTAAGGAATTAGAATAGGCAGTAACACATTTGTTTAATGCAACAAAAATTTGATAATATATTATATAAATTGGTATTATTTTTTAAATTATAATATAATCGTATAATAAATCATCTAACATAAATAAACAGTAAATCTCATTGTCAGTAAAACAAACATGGCCCGTTATCGTTTTAAGTCTTCTATCGAAGCAAGTTGATGAATTGTATCGAATCGTCTGGAATGAGACTCAATCATTTACGACGCTGCGCGTTTGTGTCGATAAACGCGAGAATATTCAGCGTTGTCAACTGAGCGGACACATCGAGTCCCAAGTCCGAGGCAAGACCAATTAATCTCGTATAGCGCAAACACGATTGAATCGATCTCCGCACTCTGACGAGAAGAAACCAGTGAAGCCAATCGGCACAATTCGCGGTGGCCAACTAGACAAATCATTAATGAAAAGACACGACAGGCACATAATAGTCATCGCTTGTAATTACGTCGCATCGTTTGAAATGTCAATCTACAGAATCGTTGGAAAAAAATAATACTAAAAATCCGATGAATCTTACACGGTACAAAACATTATATGTATATTTATAAACAGTCGACATTTTTATTGACTCCCGTTTATATTAAATTTTTTTAACTTATTTGAGTGTTAATTTAACATAAGTGATTATGTTTATTTAAAAATTTGTTATTACATTAATATTTAACAATTCTTAGTGTCAAAATAACACAATTTATGAGTAAATGAATATGTAACATAAAATTAATGTGTTTTAAAACGTAAACTCTAAGATAAATGAATTAAATACATATATGTTAATTTAATACATAAATGTTAATTATAAAGAAGTTTCAATAAAATTCAAATAAGACTAATGAGTGTAGTTGACGAGCGTAAAAATTAATAATGTATTTAAATACATTACATGAAAAAATTATACGAACGTTTCGGCTCATTTTAGAATCTTCCTCAACAAATATCATAATAGTCGATTATCTATGCTCTGGTCAGTCACTTCTGGATCATCAAAGTGAACAAAAATCCTTATGATTAATAAGTAATCTTAGTACGAAGCAATACTGAAACGAATGTGTGCATTGTAACATCATAAAAGAACAAAAAGAAACAAATCAGAAATCAAATTAAGTGACTCACCAAATGGTGCATTTAGCACAACAACCGTTCACTGAGCGCTCAATGAGCTTTTGCATCTGATTGGCATATCCCATTAGATCTAAATATATAGATCAAACAGGTACAAGAGCTCACTGAGCGTTCAATAAGCGATCGTGCTTCTAGATACATTCATAGAGAGCGAGGAAATTGTCGCAATTTAAAACACTATTGCACAAATTTATTTAAAAAAGCGATCGAAATACCGAGAATTCATTTTATTAAATAAATGTTCGTATGGAAAATGTATATAAATCAAATAAACAGCTAACAAATACAAATAAAGGTCGAAAATTAAAGTATTTTATATAAAACATATACTAATAATTTTATTTTATCTAAAACTGATATGTAAGCACATATTGTAAGAATTTCGTATCGAATTGCAAGTTAAGATTGTTGTCTTGCATTGTGTATCAAAAACTAATATTTTATTTAGAAAACGTTCTAATCTAGAATCCGGACATTCTCCTAATCAAAATTCGTAATTAAGATTAACCCTATATTCTGTAATTATAGATTTATTAAGAGTAGAACAATTAATATTCCAGCAATGTTCTTGTATCCTTATTTCTATTCCTTTTGTCTACCTGTTTATCCTACATAAAAAACGCTTTGCAAAAAATTTCATATTTACATACTAAGTTTTTTTCTTAGATTATTGGCGAGTATATCCTTGATGTGTATATCCTGATGAACCTTCCAAGTTTATTTAAACTAAAGAAAGCTACTTTAACATTCAAATTTTTTATTGTTTTTGAATTCTTCAGAGATAAATGGAATATAAGATAAAATGTATCACGAATTATTTTGTACCTTGGTTCTTTTATATATTATTATAATAATATTATAATAATAACGATTTTAAAAAAATATGGAATTAATTACATCTCAAAAATAAACTCGAGGAGATAATTATTTTCGAGTTTACTGTAATAAACTCTAATAAACTACTGCGATACTATCACAAATTAAATTGATTAACAATTTAATAATTAATTGATGCTCTTTTTGGCATCTTATTATTATTATACCTTTTTAATGTTTAGATTAATTCTCATTTACCTATTTTTACCAAAATTTATAATAAAAATTAGAAATTAATACTGCATTGATCTTTATTCAAAGCTCATTGATAGATGATTTGACAGACGTTGAAAAATTTGATATGGTGGACCCACGATGATTGTTAAAGGTTATTGTAACAATTATATAAAACAAATGAACGTGTCCAAAGAGTTAAGATAAAAAAAATAGATCCAATCTGTATTCAATAAGAACATTTTGCTGCCTATCGCATTTTGGCGAAAAAATATTTCTTTTCTTGAAGTTGATTCGTTCAGACAACTAGATAGGACCATTCTTTATTAATGTTCCCGATCGCCCTACCCAAATGGTGTTAGAGAATTAATGACGCCATGATTCGGACGTAAAGTCGAGTGATAGTATTACCGAGTCTTGGCAACGTTACTTCAACGATATTCGCGCAAAAAAAAAACCGCGCAGAATTCCTTGAATTTGTAAATAGGAAAACGGCTATACATACACATACCAAATAAAATATCGTGTAAAGCGCATAATTTATTACAAATCGAAAATCAATAAAATAAAGGCAAAATTTTCTTTGAACTTGAGTAAATTCCTGTAGGAAAGCATAAGCAAAATTTTACGATCACATAAAATAAATCGTCGTATATTTTGCCTTTATTTCGATTGATATCGATACGAATCAATCTTTTTGTTTACTCACTATTAAAAACAAATATGTCATAGAGACGCATGCCAAGCGTCCATTTTACTACCGCAGCTAAAGGACATTCCCAATTCGGGAACAAAGCCAAGGTCTGGCCGTAAGAAAGCCAAAATAGAGAGAAATTGTGCAATGCGGATCGAACATTAGTCCCTCCCGTTCAAAATGATCTTTCTTTTTCGTTATATCGCATTTATCATATAATGAAATGTTGTAAATATAGCAAATATATCCAATATAATATAAAAAAATAAATATACGGTTAAAAATAAAAACAATATCAAATAAAATAATCAATATAGATAATTAACAATAATATAAATAACAATTGTAAAGATAATTAATTTTATAATTAGTTACTAATTTATTTATGAAATATCTCTTATCTATTATAATTATAATTATTCAAATATTTCTTATTTACGCTATATCGAGGCGGACATTTTAAACAAAAACAAAGAAACTTTATTTTTATTATTAAAATACTATTAGAGAAAGTACACTAAACATTCAATAAATATCGATTACGAAATGTCACAGAGCTGCGATCCAATTAAATAATGACGCCTCTTGGATAAAGCTAAAAATTATGTAAAGAAATTTTACATTAAATTTTAGAAGAGTAATTCAACAGATTTCTTACGTTGCCATTAGATAAGAATAGATAGTTATAGTAAATACTACATTGATAACGGAACTTTAGAAATAAATACTTAAGACAGCTAAATGACCAAACTTTGAATACGAGATTCGATCTTGCAACCAATAGAGAAATAGAAGCCTCGTTCACAAAGGAAGAAAAGATACTGAATATTCGACTTAAGTCTTAAACTCAAAAGCCGTCGTCTTTGTACGATTACGAAATTAAAAATTCTTCCGTTTCCAGTCACGGTACGAGAGAGCTGCCGTAATAAAGCTGTTACAACTTTTATAATAATAGTACCGGCTGACTCGTGAAAGGCGATTTAATCAGAACACCGACTTTCCCGGAGACCATTAAAATGTCTTACGAATTTTTCTATCGCCTAAGAGACGAACTTGCTTTTTTCCCTCGTAACAT